CGCCCGCGACCCCATAAGTAAAAATCTCCCAAAAAAAAAAAAAAAAAAAAGAATTTGGTCTGACATTAATGATTTTACCTTTATTCTAGGGTCAGCTATAATTGATTGCATTGTATTTGAAAAAAAGAATTCTCCATATTATTTTCTAAGATACTTAACTGAAAAAAGCTATTTCAATATTATTTATATATACCTAATTATTATTGAACTTTAAATTGTTTTAAGGATTTACCGTCAGAACATTTGCTTGGGTCTGATTGAGTAGGTCATGTATCTAAGTATATCGAGAATTTTCTTGAAAGAATATGGCATTTTTAAGCCTTTTATGAAACAGTCTATTAATAGAGTAAGCAAAATTAAATATCATGGGATTTTCAAAATCATAAAGCTTATTTTAAGTATATCTAAGTAATTAAAACATTTATAAGAACTAATCTCTTCTGTGTATACTTTGTTTAATCAGATGAGTATTGAATGTGAAACTCAAAATATTCTTTAAAATTTAATTGTCAATAATTTATACAAACTATGCTTCATAGTTTACATTAAACATCCTCTACTTATACCAAGCAATATTTAGCCTAATGTCACAAGAATCATAATCACTTAGCATAGAATAACTAAATTATTTATATCAATATGAAATTGATTATATTTTCATGTCATTATTAATTATAAAAGAGATATGTTAATTATTTATTCTTATTGTGATTTCAGATTTATTAAATTAATGTTCTAATAAGTACAGACAACCTATTTGTAAAACTTGTTTTTTGAAACAGAAAAAAAAGACAATTTTCAATGCATTTATTGCTCACTAAAAAAAAAAAAAGAAAGAAACTATTTAACCACAAATAGGTTTTGTGAACTTGTTTCACTGAACTTGTATTAAAAATCACGCAAATAAGGACAGATGCATTGCTTTTCTTTGCAATGTTCTAAAAATCTGTGTATTATTCTGTCACAATTAGTAACACTTTTTAAACACCATCTTTCTATGTGTATTTTATAGGCTATCAGCAACCAGCCATTCTCTGACTCCTCAAAGTGATTTGGACTCTAGTAGCTCTGAAGAATTCTATCAAGCCGTTCACCATGCTGAGCAAACCTTCAGAAAGATGGAAAGTTACTTGAAGCAACAGCAACTTTGTGATGTTATATTGATTGTTGGGAACCGAAAGATACCTGCACATAGGTATAGTAACCTATCTTTTTTGGAAATAGTCTTATTTTTAAAAGTGATAGACTGGTGGGATTAGCAGATAGTGTAGTGGTTATGTTGCTGGAATCCTACATGGCCAACCACAGTTTAAGTCCTGGACCCAGTGGCTTGAAAGTCATGCTGGGCATATGCATGTATGTGCTCAAAATCCTGAGAGGAAAATGGAGGAGAATGGATTGCAAGGAGAATGGATTGCAGTGTGGCTATTCCACCTAGTGAGTAACTTCTTGCTTTCTGTCCCTCTTTTTCTCTCTGATGAGAGCATGTATCCTATAGCAAAAACCAAAACAAACAAACAAACAAACAAACAAAAAAAAGTGATAGACTAAGGGCCGGTAGGTAGTATGGCAGTTAAGGGTGCTGGACTCCTACATGGCTGACTGTGATTTGAGTCCCGAACCTGGAGGCTTGCTTTCTTGCTTTCCCTCTCTCTCTACCTCTCTCTCTCTCCCTCTCTGTTCAAATCAAAATAAATAAATAAATAAAGTTAAATAAAATAATTCTAAAAAAAAATGACAGACTAGTAATCTGCCAATAGATGGCAGAATAGTTTCTTATCGCGTAAATAAGGATCCACATTTCTAAGATACCTTACTTTTTGTTATGTTGTTACTATGTTTACTCTTTTTGGGGGGTGAGGAGGAGAGTGATACTATGCCATTTTGTGTAATGAATCTTTTTAAGAACTATGATAGATTAGAGTTCAAGAGTTGGCTCCAAGGCAGCTGTATCCCTCATGACAGATCACATGGTTCAAATTCCTGCCATAGCTCAAAAAACACACTGGGTACCTTTGCATGCATGCCCTAGATCCCTACAGAGTAGGAAAATGGAGGAGAAGACACTGAACCATGATCATTTGCCATTTAATATGCCATCTCCCTCCCCTCTCCCTCTGTCTGTCTTTCTCTCCCTGGTGAACTTACACACACTGATAAATTAAAAGCAAAACAAACGAAGAAACAAAAGAACCCCTTAAAACTAGGATTGATAACTATGGAGGAAAAGCACTTCTAATGTGTGACTTACACATATACTGAGGGGAAATTAATTATAATTAGAAGTGTTACTAGCATCTAAAAGTGTATATTATTCTCTTGAAATTTAAAGAAAGTCAGGTTATGTTGAATATACATTATTAGTTTCAATTAGAAAATTAAAAGACCTAATGTTAACTTCTTTTTTGTATTTTATCGAAAAAGTAATTTATGGTATATTAATATTATACTTAAGGACCAATGTATTTGAAAGTTCACACTTCTAAATATTCCTTATACATTTTGATGAATAATTTTGAGTTACTTCAAATAGAAATTTATTATTTTGTGCTATATAAATTTGTTTTCAGTTTACTTATAAAATTTATTAAATCAGATAATAGTTCTACATTTACATTTTTATGACATTTTTAAGTTATAAATAAGAAAAAAACTTTTTAAAAAATTTTTTGGAGAGGTTTTTGCTAATTGTCAACTTTGATGATCTTTCAGATATTCCTTTAATACTTCTTTCATTATTTTTTGCACTCACATCTAATCAATCAGGGGTTATACTTTCATTTTTGATATTTTCTCTTTTCTGTAATAGGAGGTTTTAAGGTTATATATAAATTATTACTTTAACTGAGCTTCACCATATGCGATAGGCAGATTCTTATAATTATGTAATTTCAAATTTTTACTAATACTTTTCAAATTCAGTCTTTGTATTATTTGTGTTTTTGTGTATAAGCTTCAATATGTATACTTTTCTTTCTTTCTCTTTTTCTTTCTTTGAGAGGTTTTTGCTATAGGGTGCATGTGTTCTCCAGAAAGGTAGAGAGAGACAGAGCTACAGAAAGCAAGAAATCACCCCCTGGGGGGGGAAGGCCACACTGCAATCTCTTCTCCTCCATTCTCCTTTTGGGATCGTGGGCACAAACGCACATACGCCTGACGTGAGTTTAAGTCACCGTGTCCAGAACTTGAACCATGGTCAACTATGTGGGAGTCCAGCGACATAGCCATTACGCCAACTGCTAAACCCATGTATGCTTTTCTTAATTTTCATTTATTTCTAACTTAATTTTGTTGAATCCAGAGAACATAAGATGCATGTGCTCTTTTTTTTTTTTGGAGAGGTTTTCGTTATAGGGCGCGTGCGCTCGCCAGACATACAGAGAGAGACAGAGAGACAGAAAGCGAGAAATCACCCTCCAGGGGGGATGGCCACACAGCAATCCCTTCTCCTCTATTCTCCTCTCAGGATCTTGGACATGCACGCACAGGCACCCTGCATGAGTTTAAGCCACCAGGTACGGGACTCGAACCGCGGTTGACTACGTGGGAGTCCAGCGACATAGCCATTATGCTAACTGCTGGTCCCAAGAAAAATACTTTAATTTAGTTTGGATACTCATTCTTTTAAATAGATGAATATGTGTATGAATAATTTTTTATGTATGTCATGTTTAATATTAATGAATTAAATAAAAGAAAGAGTAATTATGTAAAAAGTTTAAAATAATCTCCCTTTCACAGTATTTTTAATTTAAATGATGTTATGTGAATAACATCTTTGTGAGGTCTATTAAAAGGATTCTAGAAAATATAGATGCATATCTACCATGATGGTAATATTAACATGTGGACACTGAATTAACTTAATACTTGGAAATGCATGGAAAGGCAAATTTGACATTTAATACCTAGGTTATGTACATAATTTGTCAGCCAATCACTGCACTCATTCTAACAGTTTACTATTTAAATTTTTCTAGTACTACTATGAAACTGAATTAAAATTTGCAAGAAAACAATAGTTTACCATTGACAAAAAAAAAAATTGATGCTGTGATATGTGTGACAAAAATGCAAAATTTTCTTAGCATTTAAATAGCATCTATAGGGAACCAGCAGTTAGCGTAATGGCTATGTCGCTGGATTCCCACGTAGTCGACCGCAGTTCGCGTCCCGGACCCGGTGGCTTAAAATTCATGCCGGGTGTGTGTGCATGCGTGCCCAAGATCCCGAGAGAATGAAGGAGAAGGGATTGCGGTGTGACCATCCCCCCTGGGGGGGTGATATCTCGCTTTCTGTCTCTATGTCTCTCTCTCTCTGTCTTTCTGGAGAGCGCACGTGCCCTATAGCAAAAACCTCTCAAAAATAAATAAATAAATAAATAAATAAATAGCATCTATATAAAAATTCTATTATATTCTTTAAAGTAAGCATGAGTCTGAAATTGAGATTATAACTAAATTTACTCCATTTCATTTATAAATTAGTTAAGTAACTTACTTGTGTATCTACTTTTAATTGTAATTTCTGCTTTACATGTATTTGTTAGGTAATTTTATATATGTATATTTATAACATATAACTCTACATAAGGCCTTAACTTAAAATACATTAACAAATATAAATGCTAATTTTTAATTTATTTGTTTATTTTTGCCATAGGGAGCATGTGCTCTCCAGAGAGAGACAGTAAGAGAGAAAGCGAGAAGTCAGCCCCCAAGAGGGGATGGCCATGCCACAATCCCTTCCCACTCATTCTCCTGGGATTTGGATATGTGTGCACACACACATGCTCAACATGATTCTCAAGCCACCAGGTTTGAGATTCAAACTGTGGTTAGTGAACACTTTAACCATCACATGATCTGCTAAGTCCCTCATTCTTCTGTAAAGAGTGGTGTTTCATATCATTTATATAATCTCATAGCCTTTTACTGTCATTCCTTACATTGCCATTTGAAACATTTTAACCAATACATTAGGCAGATTTTCTAGATTTGCAATATTCAACATTATTTCTATTATTGTTTATATAGATTGTTCATTTCTAAGTAATTTATTTAGTTACATAAATATTTAGTTATATAAATTTCGTAATAATAAAGATGGATGCAAAATAAGACCTGATCTTGGTTTATATTACTCTAAAATATATGATCAGTGTATTTCCTTTAAATGTGGTATCCTGAACTTTTAAATAGTTTAAATTTTATTATATCTTAAATTAAATATATTATGTGTTCCATAAGTAAAAAGGCAAAAAAGTAATTTCTTCTTTTATAATGGCTAAATTAATTCAAATAAGCTTTCATATTTGCTTTACACTGTTAGGAGACAGATGCATTAATTTTTGTTGTTATATGGTGTGTGTACAAATTAGAAAGAGATATAGAGGGAGAAAGAAAGAGAAGGAAAATGAGAATCTATCCCCCCAGGGGTATGGCCATGCCACAATTGTAATCTCTTCTCTTCCTCTTTCCTCTCAGGGTTCTGGGCATGCACATACATTCACCTGGCATGTGTTTTTTCAAGCTCCCAGATCTCGTAGTCAAACCACTCAGTTGTCCATGTGTGGTCCAGTCTCTTTTACCTCTGTACCGCTAGCTGGCATGCACATTAAAATTTTAAAAAGTTTGGGACCAGCAGTTGGCGCAATGGCTATGTTGCGGGACTCCCATGTAGTCGACCATGCTTTGAGTCTGGGACCCAGTGGCTTAAACTCATGCCAGCGCATGTGCGCGCGTGCCCAAGATTCCGAGAGGAGAATGGAGGAGGGGGGATTGCGAAGTGGCCATTCCCCCCCAGGGGTGATTTCTCGCTTTCTGTCTCTTTCTGGCTAGCGTACACTCCCTATAGCAAAAACCTCTCAAAATAAATAAATAAATAAATAAATAAATAAATAAATAAGTTTATTGAGCAAACAGCAGTTTACAAAATAGGCAGCACCACACAACAGGTGGTTTTGGTCCCCACCAAAGAAGCTTAAGGGGAAAATTTTTATGAGATGTTAATTAAATATTTAATTTACTAAAGTGAAACAGTAGTAACGTAAGAGGTAGTTGATTCACTTATTCTGAGTTGAGTTTTCATTTAGATATGCAGAATATTCACCCCAATTACCTCCAATATTTTCCTTTTTTTTTTGAGAGGATTTTGCTATAGGGCCCGTGCGCTCGCCAGAAAGACAGAGAGAGA